GGTTGGCCTGGCTTTACCTCAGCCAGCAAATCTCAGGCTCGGCCAGGCCTCAAGCAGACACCCGGGGTTAGCGAGTCCATCTCACAAACTGGTTTGCCTCCCACAGGGTCTTGGGCCATCCCGCCCTCTCGCAGGTGGCAGCAGCTGCCTGTGAGGAGGCAGGATGGCCATTCCTTGCTTTCACCACCTCCCATTCACCTGGGACTCAGTGCAAGCTGACACAGCCATTTTCCACCATGTGTCAACGAGGGAGAGTGGCCTGGAGCCACCCAAACGTTTTAGACAGGAAAGTGTGATAAGGAGGATCACAGGACATCGTGTTGTCTCCTGGGCCTCCAAGAGGTCTCGCTACCCACTCAGTTCCCAAAGAGGCCAGGAGGAATGGCTGGAGGGATCTTCGTGACACAAAGTTGAATAAGGAATCATAGGACAGATGGAGTCTGGGGAAGAGTAAAGCTTTTTTTGATGCACTTAATGTCACAGTCTGATTCGTGCTTCCCTGCAAGAGATGCTCCTTAGCCCTCCCCAGAGTCCCCTCGGGAAGACTTCAGAACCAGCTGCTGTGCAGCACAAGCAGTTTGCCCAGTTCTGGTAGAGCTGCCAGGTCCCTTGGCCACACTCTCCTTGTTAAAAATAAGACTTTGCAACCATTTGGATAAAGAGCAGGACATGACCTTAGAGGTTGAAAAAGTGTGTGAAGTTAGCTCGTTCTTGCTGGGAACGGTGGACTCTGGAAAAATGATGTTACCACACACGAGCGTACAGAAGCAACTTTACTGCCCGAGTGCTGAGAGCAGTCCTTTGGAGCTTCCCACAGCACTGGGGGAAAGGACTTCCCCCACAGCCGTGCAAAGAGCCCTCGGCTACCTCGGCTGGCCGCAGCATTCCCTTCTCACTCTCCGCTGTGCTTAGCAGTACAGGCAGCCCGGAGAGATCCCTTCAGACACTACAGGAGAGGACAAAGTCAAGAGGGGTCTCATCATCCCTCAGCCATGGAGAGGTTGAGCACAAGCTAGGCTAAGTCATTTGGCACGGCAAAAACCCACGCTTTCGATTTTAAGATTAAAAGAAGATGACGCGTGGGGTGACCTGCATAGTTTGGCCATCTGAGAACGACAGACTCCTTCAGGACGTGTTTCAGTTTGGATGCTCTTTGCCAAGGGCTCAGCCAGTCTCCTCCCTAACGTGACAGGTGTTTGTGCAGAGGAGAAGTTCTCTTGGCCTGGAAAGAGCAAATTAGAAATTTGCAGTTGTTGCTGCTCATGCCAAGGAGTAGAATCCCCTTCTAAGCGCAATTACTTTAACGAGCAGGGACTGACTTCACTGTGCAAGTGTGGCTGATGTTTCTGAGATGAGAGACCAGCTTGTGCTGTGTTACGGTCTAACTTTAGTTAAAACTGTTTGATGCCTTTCTGAACAACATGATAAACTCTGGAGTAATCAAAGTGCACAGTCAGTCACTTTCTTTCCCTCATACTGTCAAACATTGTCAAAAGAAAGAACAATAGCCTGGTCGTTTGTATTTCTACTGCATTTTTTTCTGGGACTGATGTATCGCAGAATGTGATTTTTCTCTTGATTTGCAGACTCAATCAATGTGAAAATTCTAGAGAATGGAAAAAACGCTCAAAATTAACTAATTTGTGGACTCTAAAACTGTGCTATTGTGAATATTATTTTTCCCCAAACAGTGCCCTTGACAGAAATTAAATATAGTGGAACCATATAGCTAGCTTAAATCATTAGCTCACATCCATTCACATAAATTGTTTGGGAATTAGATACTTTTGCTTAGAAACAGATCTCAAATACGGCAATTTTTACAGGTTTATCACCTGTAGTTACTTTGGCTAAACCCTAAATTACTTATATTGAGTGGTATGCCAAACTAATTGAAGTTTTATGTGTTCTCTCCAGATGCTCCAGGCATAGCTGGCGGAGGCAGGTGAAAGGGCTTGTCTGTAAGAGTTTTTAGCCCAGTAAATTCAACAGACTGACAGTTGTTCCCCATCAGCTGACAAATACCTGCTTATCTCCTCCTAAGGCCTGTGATTGGTATTCTTCCCCTCAAGAAGGGCTGCCAGAGCCATTTCCCCACCTCTCACAGTTTCATCCCACAACAGCAAACTTAAACCACTTTTTCTACTGACTCGGGAACTGCTTTTCCAGAGGCCCTGCCCACCTTCAGCTTCAGGATCCGTTCCCAGTTCACTTCTGTATCAGCCTTTTGTTCAAACTGATTACTCCTTTGTCTGGGCCTTATATAGGGATTTAGTGGCAAATTACAGAGAGTATGAATTTATCCATACAGTGCTTCCAGACAGTGCAATGAGAAGTGCCTCTGCTCTCTCAGCCCTGCTGCTGGCAGGAAAGCTCTATTAGACTGGCTGGCCTCACGCTGCTGTGCATAACTCCTACAGAGGAATTAAAACAGGTATAAAATAACAGTGGGGGCCCAATGGCATAAATCAGTGAAAATCCACTGAGTTAGCTGGAATTCATTATATTCAGTTGTGAGAAAAGTGCATCTGGATCAGCAGTTTAAGGTTATTAAGTAAAACTGAGTCTTTTGCCGAAGTTAAGTCCTTTTAGGCCTTCATAGCAAGAACAGTGACAGAGATTTAAGTTGGTAGGCCTTCTGACCTACCAGCACCGGGAATGATGGTGGACACATTTTAGCTCTGCCCATTCTGCATGGTTATATATACCCTGACACACTGAGAAGAGCTGGGTAGGTCTGTGAAGGGCAGGCAGGCAGTTGAAGGCAAGTGCTGGAGTCCAAATGCCAGCTTTTGCTTGCTGGCCTAAAGATCTGTGTTCCCAAAGCCGTGTGGTCTGTTTCAGAATTCAGCACCAGGGCAAGCTTTTCTAATCAATAATTAATCTGCTGCTAAAGAGAGATGAAGGGAAAACAAGTTAAATGAGCATGAACTGTTTGGTTGAAAAAGGACGTGGGCCTTATCATATTCTAAAATCAAAGGAAGCATCAGTCTTCCATGCCCATCTGGGTTTAATTACTCACCCTCATTATCTCTCTGATTCTGTATTTGATAGAAGTAGAAACTTGGTATCCATCTCCAGCATCCACGGTTTTGGTTGCAAGACCAGTTACGCAAGTAAAGATAACACTACCAGGTAGAACACCCGTGTGTCAGGAGGCATTAGTCGTCGCAGTCAATGGAGCTTGTAGCATTTCAGTTTGGCTTCCAGTAAATATTGCTACAGCACAAAAGATTGCTCTGAGTGTACAGGGCATTTTTTATGGCTTGGTTGGCGTACTGAGGGCTTAGTCATGCAGCTCCATTTGCTTTTAATGGGAAGTTCGTGACTGAATTCCACCGCTTTGTAAGGTATCTTTTACAAATGCCTGGAAAAACAAGGCTGTTATCTCTAAGCGGGTTTCACGAATGGAGACCTGGTCTTCTCCTTGGTTTCACGCTGCAGTTGCGCTAATGCAACCACAGGTTTTAATGAACACAGCAATTTGTTTACAAGCCCTTCCAACAATGACATCGTTCAGTTTCTGCTGTGGCTGTTTGCAACAGGAGCGTGGCGGGAGCTGGGAGTGACTCTGCTAATTGCCATCAGTACAAATGCCAGTTACAATTCACCTGCGGTGATTCAGTTTTCTGTGGCTGCTGTGATGCCCACGTGTAGCTTTTGGCTCTACTTACCTGCTGAAATGCACTTGGAGATGATTTGGGAGCTTGGGCAGAGGTTGGAAAAGTGCAAGTTTTACTTTTGTTGAGACGAGCCATTGGTTTGGATTTGAAAGAAGGGAGCCCTTGCTTCCCAGGGAAAATTTGGTCAGGCCAGAGCATACCATGATTTTGCTACCTATTTCTTTCTTGCTTCCTGCCCAGCTGCTTGGTGATACGCCACTTCCACTTTGTCCTGTGTCAGCTTGACAAACCAAAGGCTCAAGTGTGCCGTGAGGATGGAGTGGAATGTGACATCAGAAAGGGTGGGCTTTTAAACTCCAGCAACCTCAGTCAGCCCATGCAGAGCTGATCTGAAGTCCTGATTGTCTGATCTGGCAGAAAATAGGGATGCTTGCAAGGACTTAGTGTTTGGTTCTGTGACCTCAGATACCGTTCATGTCAAGCATCATCACTTTAAAGTTTTGTAAAGTGACAGGAGTTTGTGTAAGAGAATATTAAATATTCAAATATTGAACATAAAGAGTCTTCCTATTACATTTGCAACAAATTAGTTGTGGTAAAGCTTATTTTATTTTCAAATTTAGCACTAATGTCACACCTACAACTGGGTTAAAAGGAAAAAAAATTGTGTGAATATGAGGAGAAAAAACTAAGATGATTTCTCTCTCTATAATTCAGTCCCAGCTCCTAGGTAGGGTCTGTACCCATTTCCCTCAGAGCTGCACGGGGTTAAGCAGGTGGCTTTGCCTGCCCAAGACTGGGCTGTGAAGAGCCCAAGAGGAGCTGCCAGGGTCTGCTCTGTCCTGTCCTGCGTGAATGAGGGAGCATGGAGAGGACGAGTAGGAGATGTTTGGGCAGGAGGTAAGGGCAGAACTTTGGCAGCCTGAAGAAGTGAGCTGTGCCCTTTTCAGGGACAGAATAATTTATGTCCCTCCAGGAGGAGGAGGGAAGCAGAGAATGAATGGTGACTTACTGAATTTCAATTAGATCTCCTCTTAGAGGCTCATAACCTTTGTGCCTTCCTACGTGCAAGGCTCTGTCTCAGGGCACACTCTAGTCCTAAGGAAACAAGAGAGGTAACCTTCTGAAAGCCCGATGTTAACAAAGATACTTCCTCTTCCATTTCTTGATGTCAGTTGCCATATCCATTTGGCAAGGATAATTAACTGGGCATTGGCAATCAGGTAGTTGCTGCGTCTGCCTGAGGGGTAGACCCACAAAGAGAGTGTCTGGCCTGCAGGACACTCATGATGGGACCACCCCGGTCACTCTGCATTATGTCTGCACAGAGAAGTAATGCTGGATCTGGGCTTGCCATGGGATGAGAAGCATAGTAATATGGTTTCTGTCATCCCAGCCAGGCTTCCAGAGAAGCTGCACCAGGGCTGCTCCGATGAGACCGTGGCAATTCTGGGTCTGCTGGGGGGCAGAACCACCATCTCCTTCCTGTCCTGGAAGTCCATCGAGAAGCCTCTGGTTTGGTTGAGAGATCTCAGGTGTCAACTGAGGAAAGGGGAGGTTGGGTCTTCAGTGTGGACTTACAAAAGACATATTCCACGTCTCACTAGTTAAAAGTTAGAGGAAGGGTTTTTCCAACTTTTACCAAAATACTCACCCATTTATTGGGTTGGAGCACGCAAAACTGGAGCCCCAGAAGTCTGAAGATGCAGACTTGTCCTTGAAGTCCTAGTGTGTCCCAGGTTTGGTTGGATCTACCAAATTTATAAAGGATTCAGGCTTTCATAAAAAAAAAGGTACCATTTTGGAAAGCACTTGGGGATTTTTCAGCATGACAGATGCTACTATGTAAGTGCAAGACAATTATCTCCTTCTATATGTGGGTAGCTGTCTTATAAAAAGGTATTTTGACTTAGCAAGTCACTGCAATAAAGTGGAATGTGCAGACACAATACTTGACTGCCCCCACATGCATATTTCAACTTTATTAAATCTTATTACAATTAAAATCTTAAGTCTTCTTTTCTAGCACAAACACTCTGTGCGTGTAAGAACACATGCGACAGCAAGTAAGCCTTTTAGTACATTATTAATCATCAAACCCAAGGATTAGGAAGAAAAACGTTTGCATTTTATCTCTAATTTTTCCTTTTTTCCCTCCTTTTTTTCCTTGCAGGCACAACTGTCTCAGGCTTTAAATGGTGTTTCAGATAAAGCAAAGGAAGCTAAAGAATTTTTGGTTCAGCTGAAAAATTTATTGCAGCAGATTCAGGTAACTGTAGAATATTAGCTGTTTTGATAATACAGTAATCAATAGGACTGAGTGAATAATTCATTTGATGACTTTGTTTCCTGTGCTATTCTCATCTTTCCTGGAATCATCTAACCTTTCTGGAATGGATTTGCTAGGCAAAATTATTCATCTAATGGTGCCTGAAAGCCCGTCTTAGCTTCTAGATTGTTTGCTGTTTATTGCAGGAAGCTGATACTCAATACTGGACATCTGAGCTGTGTTGATTAGTATTTGATTGAATCCATTGGTCATGCTTCTGGGCTCCTTCCTGACTGGAATTGCTTGTATCGGGCATGTAGGATAAGTTCTCATTTTAACACATTCAGAATTTACTACTTGTTTTTGATCTTACATTTTCTAAAAATGTACTTATTTCTGGACAAAATCCAGTCAACCTGTTTATTAGAGTATTTATGGGAAGTCAAAAAAAAGAAGAAACAAATGCTGCTAAATCAATGTGGTCACGTAGTGAAGCAGAAGATATTTTCATGACTGTAATTGCTTAGCTTTAATAGTCAGAAAAGGGCTCATGGTGAGTGCAGTAAATGAGGGCACAAACCCAAAGTCCCGTTCAACCAAATTTAGACTCATCAGTGCTGGAGGTCAGATGGCCCTTAAGGTCCTTCTCAGCCTGCAGAGTGTGGCTGGAAATGTGCCACCATAGTTTGAGCTTCACGGTGCCCGGGAGGGGACACTCGTAACCCACAGTGCACTGTGACAGTGGGTATTCTATGGGATATGTACGTCAGCTGCACTGCGATAGGCCCGCTCTGCTGCTTGATCGTCTTTTACCAACAAGCAAGCCCTGTTCCTGTTACTAACAGAAAGCCACAGCAGAAGTTCAAAAATCTGTATTTGGTTTAGAATTCAATCATTAAAATTCTGCTTAACACTCCAGATGATGAATTTGTACCCCAAATGCTTTCCAAGCTCTCAGGGTGCCACCCCCACAGTCTTCTGTGGCCATGTGGGCAAAGAAATAAACCAAAACTGGGAAACCAGTAAAAAAAAAATCACATTTAACTGAAAGAAACCAGTGTGAAGCCACTGACTGGCACATGCCATGTTTTAGACACAGTGTGAAGTTTCTCTCAGCTGACTTTACCTATTGAAAAGTTATGTAGCTCATCTAATCTAGTCATTTGGGCTTTTTTCATTGTCCAAGAAGGACAGGCAGCTCTAGAGAGCAGTTCTTACTATAGGTATGGATAGCTATTAGGATGGGATAACTCATCTAATACAGTAGTCTATCACTTCCCTTGAGTCATTTAGCTCCATTAAAAATGTATTTCCCCCCCTGGAACCTAAAGGTGGCCTATTACAACTATTTATGACTATGCTGTAAAGTCCTTTAATGTGTTTCAATAAAATCACTGCCAAATAGCTTTGCATAAGGGAGCTGCTACAATTAGATCAAAAGACCAAGCCATTTCTTTGATGCTGCTCATTGCTTAAAATGCTAGAGGAGAACTCAGAAGAAGGAATTGTATCCAGCAATCACCCTCTAACATTTAGGCATGTCTGGGCACAAAGCTGAATCTGACCCTCACGTGGAGCCAAGTCTCCAGCATGAATCTGAGCGAGGATGTCAAATTTCTGCAAACCAAACCAGCAGGACTGATCAGCTGTATATGAATTCCTAAGTAAAACAAGGCTAGGGCAAAACCCTGAGATCATAGAATCACAGAATCATAGAAGGGTTAGGGTTGGAGGGGACCTTAAAGACCATCTAGTTCCACCCCCCCTGCCATGGGCAGGGACCCCTTCCACTAGACCAGGTTGCTCAAAGCCTCATCCAGCCTGGCCTTGAACACTTCCAGGGATGCGGCATCCACAGCTTCTCTGGGCAACCTGTTCCAGTGCCTCACCACCCTCTCTGTGAAGAATTTCTTCCTGACATCTAATCTAAACAGATGTCATCCACACACTTTAACCCTTAATGAGTTCCATGGTTTTCTCTCATGACAGATTGCACTCTTCCCAGGTGATGCTCAAGCAGCATTTGATGGTCACACATACTGGGGAGCACTCCTGGTAGGCAGGTTTGGTAGAGCCATGCTGTTTGAGGGGAAGAAGTTTAGATGTGTGTATTGGGTTTGGCCAGTAAGGTTTTGGTAGCGGGGTGGGCTACAGGGGTGGCTTCTGGGTACCCAGGCTGGAGCAGGCTGCTCCTGAAGGACTGCACCCTGTGGGAGGGACCCACGCTGGAGCAGTTTGTGAAGAACAGCAGCTCCTGGGAAGGGCTTATGCTGGAGAAGTTGGTGGAGGGCTGTCTCCCGTGGGAGGGACCCCATGCTGGAGCAGGGGCAGAGTGTGAGGATCCCTCCCCCTGAGGAGGAAGGAGCCGCAGAGACAATGTGTGATGGACTGACCACAACCCCCATTCACCATCCCCATGCACTGCTGGAGGGGCTGAGGGAGAGAAATGGGCAGCAAAGCTGAGCCTGGGAAGGAAGGAGGGATTGGGGGGAAGGTGTTTTTAAGATTTGGGTTTATTTCTCATTATTCTACTCTGTTTTGATTGGCAACAAATGAAACTAATTTCCCCAAGTCAAGTCTGTTTTTCCCATGACCATAACTGGTGAATAATCTCTCCCTGTCCCTATCTCAACCCACGAGCCTTTCCTTGTATTTTCGCCCCCTTGCCCAGTTGAAGAGGGGAGTGACAGAGCGGCTTCAGTGGGCACCTGGCCTCCAGCCAGGGTCAGCCCACAACAATGTGTCGGGAGCTGATCTGTGCCTTTTGGCATCTGGACCAAAAAAATGTTCTTGTGCTGTTATTTTGGGGTGAATAGATGTAGTCTTTTTGCATAGATTTAGACACAGAACCATGTATCTCAGAGCAGGTTATTTCTAGTAGAAGTCATGATGGTTGACACACACACATGAGGCATTTACCCCTCAGCAAAAATGTTTTTAAAATGCATGTTTACACAAAGGAGTGAGCAATATGTACATTTTTTTATCCTGTTTCAATGCACAGCAGACCAGCCAGCCATCTGCACTCTATCTCCTGAGTTTGTCAGAGCTACCAGGAGCTGTGCTTTTCTCTTGCCTGGGGCAGTTTGCAAATTCAGTCTACTTTTCTTTTCCCTGCTTTGCAGATCTCGTTTCTCCCTCTTTTTTTTCTCTTCCCTTCTCCTGTCTGAGGTCACTTTTAAATCTTTTGGTCTCTTCAGAAACTGCCTGTTCCCCATTGCCCCTGTTGCTTCCTTGCTCCTCCTTGTTGCTGTCATTATCTGATTTTCACATTTTCCCATCTGCTGTAACAATTTTGTCCTTTCTCACACGAAAGAGGCGTATTGCCCAACACCCCATTTGATGTGTGAACGGGAAACGAGGAGAGAAATGATGCGCTACAGCCATCAGCTGATTCAGGCTCTACACACAAACCAGCACTTCAAGAGTAGCTGGATGGAAACGGGCTTGAGAGGGAGTTGTGTGTGATACAAGCTGAAGAGGGAGAGATGCAAACAGGAAGAGTCTAAGACAAACCTGTGAACAGTAACTGAGCCGTCTGGTGTCTCTCCCCTCACCCATCCTGCTGGCAGGTCTTGGACTGCAGTGGTGGTTCTCTCAGAGAAGAGTAACCCACTCAGCTGGAGAATGGAATGCATGGATCACAGTGGGAGAAGGGCATACAGTGCTGAAAATTTGCTTTCAAAAGAATGAGGACAAAACAAATGAACTGAAAAGAAAAACACAAAACAGAAGAGCTAAGAGATAGTAATGAGTTAGGGGCGTGTGATGGCTTGCTTCCTTGTTTTTTTCGTTTGGGTGTTTAGGAGGAAAGCTGATAGGACAGCTGAACATCTCCTAAAAGAGGAGCTTGGAAGTTTTCTCCTTCTTCTAGTCTGACAAGCCAAGGAAGAGAGGGAGACCTTCCCTTTGAGTGAGAGCTACAACATCAGTTCCGCGGACAGAGAAAGCTATCCCCAGGAGCAGGGGCATCTCCAGGACCTTGTAGTACCGTCTGCACAGATTTCTACAGCGGCAGGGGGTTCTGTGGTAGCATAGTTTGCTCCCTGTTGATGGGACAGGGGTTTATTTAACGCTGAGTGACACCCAGGCACTACTCAAGGCTCAGCATTGTATGCCTCAGATACTGCCCTCTGCCTAGCAGAGTCTTCTACCACAATGTGAATAAAAAACTGCCATGTTTTGAGTTTTTTTTAAAGCTAATCAAATACATGTTTCCACTGCCAAGTGCTGGTTATTTTAAAAATAGTACTTGAAGCAATAGACAAATCTCAGGGCTTTGTACCTGATTAATTTCCTTGTAATAAGCCTGTAGATCAGATTCTGGTCCATAATTCTGTACTAATTGCCATGGTGTAAAGCCAGTGATTTCAAAGTCACTACAGTGGGATAATTAAAACAGAATGGGGCGGGATCCTCTTATGTATGTGTATGCACTGCATATGTTGTGTTTTACTTTATGTTGTACTACATCTATTGTCTGGAAAGAGCCAGTAAATCAAGGTTTTAAATAAGGCCATTTGTGGCATAGCATCTTACTGTTTCATTTTATGGTATGCAGCTATTACTGGTACAGCTATAATGAAATCACAAAGACAACAGAAATGCCATGGTCTTGAAAGGAAACATTTTGTGAATAGAAAAACAGGTAAGAATGAGCAATAGCTTAAGCTGTAAAATGTGCTTTCTTCGATGAGTATGACTCTCACCTTCTTCTAGGAGAACGGGTTGGATTATGAAGCATGTCTTGTTGCTCAGTGTGACGCCTTGGTTGATGCGTTAACGCGACAGAAGGCAAAACTGCTCACAAAGGTGACCAAAGAGCGTGAGCACAAGCTGAAGGTGAGCACAACTCTCATGAGCTGAGCACGGCTGCTGATACCTGGTGTTACTGTGCATTTTGTCAAGTCCCCAGCCCTTTACACCATGAAAATTCTTAGTAACCAAATCCTGAAGTCCTTTAGCAGGTTCCAGCTCAGCAGTTTCATGGAATTGTGCTTATACACTTAAAATGATGCATATACTTCAGCAGTTTGTTGAATCAGGCCATCAGTCTTTATTTATCTGATGGTTTGGAGGTATCTTTTGAAAGGTGATTATCAGTGAAACCTGTGTGGACCATCTGCCCAAGTAAAATGTTGGGATTTTGGTGTCTCTTCAATCCTTTGAAATTCAGGCAAGCCACGTCCAGAAATCCATGTGCCACTCAAAAGTTATTAAAGAAATGCAGTAAAGGGGGGTGGCGAGGAGAAGAAAGCTATAAATGTTTGAACAAAGTGGCAGTCAAGAAACATTTAAATAGGCACATTGCTTGAAATGTTGAACTGCATATGTGATTCTGAGGTACTATAGTGCCAGTAACATTAATAGTATCTAAGACAGAAGGAAACATTGAAGTATCTAATATGCCAAACAATGAATAAAATCTACCTGAGATCAAGCATTTAAATCCCCCCATGCTTAACAAGAACTGACACTTAGGATGTACTGCTAACTAATCTTGCAGTTTATTCCTGTTAGGCTGTTGTACCTCAGGACTTGTGCTATAAAACACGGTGCTATGAGACCTGGTCTACAGCCATGTGGCAGCAGAATCAAGTCCAAACTCTGGAAGAATGAGATGCAACTTTTTTATTTCTTAATCCCAGCAATATGTTCTCAAGCAGAGCTGGATCAATGGAGAATTGTTAAGAGAATGGTAGACTATAATCTGCAAGAAACCACTCCTGCAGTTATCCTCTATAATATTTGCCTTTTAAGTGAAGGATTTTTTTAAAAGCCCAGATTTTAGTGAAAGCGTGATCGCAAATGTGCCTACTGCAAATGCAGAAATATGTTCTGTGCTTTTTCTGCCCCAAGCAAGCCTGATCTTTGAGCAATTAATCTGCTCTGAAAATTGAGATTCCCTGTGCACAACATTTTGCCAAGCTAATTATCGGTATTTACAATACAGAGCAAGTGAGTGTAGCTGATGGAGATACGGCAATGGCCATATGGCAGCTCAATTAAGCATAGCTTTAACACACTCTTCCATTCGTTTTCTCTTCTGAAATAATCTTGTACAAGTTACTTTAAGCCAAGGCCGTCATCAGAACTGTACTGATGCTTGTTTTCCAGGTTGTTTGGGACCAGATAAATCACTGTACACTGAAGCTACGCCAGTCAACAGGGCTTATGGAGTACTGCCTAGAAGTTATCAAAGAAAATGATCCCTCTGGGTTTTTACAGGTATTTTTCTTTCCAGTGTTCTGGGGGAAAAAACAGAAAAGATGTTAAAGTTAAATCTAAAAATGGACAGCTTTGCGAATTAGCCTCTTCCACGTCAGAGGCAGGTTCGCCTTAACTCCTGTTAGTACTCTCTAAAAGCTCAGATAGCTGGGTGACGGCACGAATGTCCCAGCGAAGGGATGGCCTTGCATGGACACACTCTGACCGAGGAGAGGACTTAGCAGTCACACCGCTTCCCTGAATGCTGACATCTTTCCTCTTGCCAGCCCTTCCTTCTGGGCTGACAGAGAGATGCTGTGCAGTTAATTATAACTTTCTGCAGAATATTATTTTATTCTTATCTGGGAAACCCAAGACGGGGCCTCACAGAGCTCTCTGATCAATTTGGAAAGGTGTATGACTCAGCAGAGCAGTACTTCTCCCCTTTGTGCTTCTCCCTGTTGCATTCCTCTTTCCCACATGAAAGAGTCGTTTCAACATCTCTCCTGTGAGGAAATCCAGCCTTAAGGACTTGCCTGTAGCTTTGCTTCACTGGGGTTGTTACGTCTCACAGGGCTATAAGACCAGTCTTGTAGCTGGAGGATCCAGGTACCCCCTCTTTGCAAAATAGGGTCTAGCCAACAATTGCCTTAATTTGCAGGATATTGTTTCTTAGGTGCAAGCAGTGAAAGTGTCTGTTGATGAGATAAAATGTAACAGTTTTATTATCCAATGAATTATGTTGCCTAATTAATTCTATTATTTTTATTAATTATCTTATTTTTTCCTGTTAACTTTGTTGCCTCATTAGTTGCCTAAGAAGAAAGGCACGTCAGACAAAATGATCTCCACGTGGCTGTCAGCTGAACAGGACACACTGCACACAGGAATGCAGGAGTGTCAGGGGGCTGTCACAGCATCCCTAAAAACCAGGATAAGAATTAGCCAACTTAAACCTATTAGCACTCCAGATTGATTGTTACTGTCACGTCTGGTCTCAGGCAAGAATGAGGAATGTGTGGTGTTTATTAATCTCAAGACTACACAGATTTTAGCAGGACAAATGAAACCTTTAGATCTTATCTATGTGTTAGCTAGATACATGCTTCGTTTTCATTTCAGCTTACTTCTCCTGTGACCTTTGTGGCTTCATTCTTTCCAGTCACCTTTTATTAGAAAGTACTTTTGGTTTTGCCTTTTTCTGGCTTTTCTAAGGATGCTTTCAAGGCAATCATCAAACACTGAGGCACTGCATTACATAGAGCAACTACTGCAGCCAGAACATTGAAACAGCCAAGGGATCCAGCATCCATCCCGTCAGTGACTCTGAGGTTGCAGGACGGCTATAAGATGCTCCTCCACTGACTGCACAGACTGATTAAGGGCTGCTGATGCAGGGGCTCAGACAGGAGTGTCTTCCAGTAACAGTAATGAGGAAAGGTATCTGAACACCAATAAAGAAAAACTCCTGTCTTACCTATCCAGAAGAAAATTCTGCTCCCTGTGACTTTGAGTAGGCTCACTGGGAGGGACTCCAGATACCCAAATGGCAGCTTCACTGAACTCAAGGACAGTTGAGTCCACTGATTTCCACAGAGCCAGGGTTTCACTTCCAGAAGTCCATTGAGATCATCTTAGTCTGACTTTCGGCTTAATTGTCTGTGGGCTGAGTCAAAGAAAATATTTAAAAAAGAAATTCAGTTTTGATGTAATGATAGAAAATCTGCCATATTCTTTGAAAATCTGTCTGACACTTAGCACTGTCACTGTGAGAAATACACACCTTCCTTCTCATTTGATTTTTTTTATTCCTTTCAGCTTTCACCCACTGAATGATCTCTGCTGGATGGAGGGACTCTCTAACATTTAAGCATCTTTTTATGCAACTGCTTTTTAAACAGAGAGCAAAATGAGACTGTGCAGATCAGAGAACAGAGTGCAGAAGTATATGCGGCAGAGGCATGATACACGGCACAGTCTCAACAGGCTTTATAAATGTGATTTTTACTTTCCTACTCTAAGATGAGATTTGTTTCGAAAAGATGAGGTGAAAGGATGCAACCTAAATGGACCTCACCCCAAAACGACCAGATCCCATCTCCGCTGTTGTGCTGTTGTATTCCTGCTTTTTTTTTTTTGTACTGTATCTCAGAGGCACTCTGTCACTTTTAATGTGTGCACCTGCCATTTAATTATAAGCCTGATACTCTCTTTCAGATTTCAGATGCTTTAATCAAGCGTGTTCAGGTATCTCAGGAACAGTGGGTCAAAGGAGCCTTGGAGCCAAAAGTGTCAGCTGAGTTTGACTTGACCCTGGACAGTGAACCTTTACTGCAGTCGATTCACCAGCTGGATTTTATTCAGATGAAATGTAGGGGTGAGCTTTTATGATTTTCTTCTTTATGTTTTTTATGCATGTTTTGAAACAACGCTGGGTGGGATGGGGGCATGGAGGGAGGAAAGAGGAATGACTTGAAATTGCTGGAGAGTTTTAAAAGGTTTTTAAGCAAATTCCAATTACTCGGAGTTTCCTAGAAAGTTGTGCTCACCTCACTTGCAGTGTGACCTGAACAAGCTCAGACAGAGATACCAGATGCAGTTAAAGATTTGTACAGATAAAATCTTCAGAGTAAGGCTAACTATCAGCTGTGAAGATTAAAAAGACATTAGCTGTGTGAAACTTTATGCCATTTTACAGCATTCCCAGATTTAACATGGTTAATTCAAAATACCATTTACCCCTATCTTGTCAGGAACAGCTGAAGTAATAAATAAATATTCAGACACACACTTATGGTCGAATAGGGTAAAGAAAACCCTTTGACTTATATCTGGACTGTGCTGCAAACAGTGCCCAGCTTAAAAAAGAAAAAACAAACAAACATCTTGAGGCAGAGATTCACAATGGGAAGGTAGCTCCATGGCTATACCCTTCCTTGATTCCAAGTATCAATGATCCCGGGAGACACATTAAAGGGAAAGGAGGTTTAAAAAATATTTAACAGCAGAAGCTGATGAACAGTAGATGCCATTGCCAAAACCAAAAAAAAAAAAAATCACGTGCTTCTAATGAGCTTGTTTTATATGGAGCAGGATGAGAACTGCATCAGAATTAGAGAGATCCATAGAGCAGCTAGATTTGAAGGCCATTGTGGTCCCTGGGAATGATGCCATTAGCTTCCCTCAGTGGTGATTCAAACCTTAATTATACATGTGGGTGACAGGGTAGAGGCTGCCAGAAGTCAATGAATGAGTTAAGGATAATCGTGTTGTGATGCCGGATGTAGTGGGTTTTTTTTTTTGACTCTAAGCAAACATAAAGATTTCTGTTCAGTTTATCTGTTCTCTCTGGGCCTAATTCTGAACCTAAGAGACCGAAGATGAAGTGATTAGGGTGGATAATTTGGCAGATAAGTATGTGGAGAAACAAGGCTGCCAAAGGCCGCTCGCCAAGAATGGTTTACATCTGGCATAAAGGGGCTGTGATAATGTTACTCAAAAAATACCTGTGAACTGCTCCTTGGAAATATTGACAGCCAGGAATGCAGAGTCAAGAGAGAAGTATCACTGGTAAAACTTCTCCAAATACTGTCTGCACTTGTCTTTTAAAATCAGTTTATATTTCATGATGGCCATATTTATTGTAAAATATATTTCTTATTAATCTTCCACCACTCTCCTTTCCAAATGCATAAAGAATTTAGTTAAACTATCCCCTTAGATTGCTAATTAACCACAGTTCACTTGAGGTGAGAGCAGCTTAAGTATTTGGCTTTTGGACATTCATCTGCCTTTAAGCTTGAAGACTTACGAGACTTTAATTGAGCCAGATTCACTGGAGCTTTATGAAAGTTAGTGCTGTCTGCTACGCTCTCATTTATCATACGATCGCAGTGAAGCTCTGCTGCTGAGCTAGACATACTCTGAGGGGCAGAGGAGAGGACAGGACTGCTTCTGCCCAAACGTGTGCAGAACTAACGAGCACCCTTGCACTTTGCTTCCCGGAAGTACCCTAACAGTTATCCCTCGGGAAGGGCTTTTCCTCGAGCTGTCTTGGCCTTGACCAGGGACTACCTGTTGCACGTCCCATCAGGCAGGTCAGCACAACTGGCGTGACCGTGTGCACACTGTGCCAAGGATGGTGGAAACAGCGTTAACCTGGCTGCCATTCCGGAAGGTGGACAAGAGACAGCATTATTCGTGCCTCTGTGTGCCCAGGCAGAACAAGCTGCTGGGTTCCGAGCTAGCATTCATAGGTATCAAGGATTGTTCAGTATATAGAGGTGTATTTATATTTTTCAGTTTATGACAGCAAATCTATTTGCATTTAGCTGCTCAGAATGACACTTTGCCATTCTTTTTTCCTGAAATTTTACTTCTGTGGCCTCCACCAGCTCTGCATTATCTTCTCGTCTATAGTGGCCTTGCATTTAGAAACACAGATACCACAGAGCAAGGAACTCAGCATTTCAGCAGTGAGCACCCAGACTCACTGGGAAGATGACTTTGCTGACTGTGTGGAGCCGCTGGTGTTGCAGGGTGATGTTTGGCTATTTATCACCATCAGGACTTGTTTATTTCTGAGCCTCCAATTTCATGAAGAAAAATCTTGGTGTCTCTTCACACCTGCTCCTCTTTCTCCAATCCTACCTACCCCAGCGCACCAAGTCATCAGTCTTTGCCAAATGTTGGGGAGTGTTATTAGGTCACTATATTGGTTGATCTGACAAAAGTAGGTGCATTAAAGACATAGGAGACGATCTGTAAAGGGAGTTTTGGGGAAACCTAGGACAACGCAGCCAGCGTGGCTTTTCCAAATGCAAGTTGTGTTGTTCCAAAGGCTTTGCAATTTTAAGTTCTGTACTGTTGCTATTCAATGCTTAGTGCATGACTGAATTTCTTTTTTTTTTTTTTTTAATTTCAAACTCTGGCCTCATTCAACCTCAGTGAGCTTGCATGGGTCATTTAGAGTGAAAGCATGCTTGTAAGTAAACATTGATTCACTGTGTTAGACGAAGAATGAAAATGAGAACAAGTCACATTACATTTGCTTTGGTGACTTGTTCACGTACCTTACTGGTGGACCCTCTATAAGCCCAAACGTAAAGCTCATCTCTAAATAAAGATCAGGGGGTGGTTTTAATTTTACAGAAAGAAGCAGCAATTTGGTAACAAATTAAATGTGCAGAAATGTGATAGGTGCAGAAATAATGCTTAAGCACTCATGTTGACCAAAGGGCCTCACTGATAGCCCTTTGGCAAGAGTCATACTCCCCAGGCTGGCTGACCTGCTGAGACATGTGCATGGCTGGCCTTCTGAGCTTTCCCAGATCCCTTTCCTCTGTCCAGGTTTTCTTCTCTCTACTGCTTTTTCTGAGTGCCTCGGCACAAAATTCCTGTCCTCTGATGACTGGCTCAATATGTACATCACATTTCCTCAGTTCAGGCTACGGACACAGGCAAATACGTGTTCCAGGTTTGTTTTGTTCAAACAGTTGGAACTGTCACGCAATCTTGGTTTGTTGTAAAACAGAGACTAGGTACAAAATAGGAAAAAATATAGCTACTCTCTACTTTTCTGTACCACTTCTGAATACGGACTCATATGCCCCTTCTCCTTTTCAGGAGTACTGTCCATAAAGATTCCCCGGACACATCTCTTGCCGCCCATCTTCTCTGCTTCTCCAGCCATGAGCTGCGCAGCTCTGAAAATGAAAGAGTAACCGTTTCATCATAGGTGTTATCCCTGCTTCTGTCTGCTCTGCATCATGGACCCAGGACTTTTTCTGTGGTCTTTCCTTCTCTCTCGATAATGATGTTTGTAGGGCACTTGCTACATCAGTGACTGAGGCTATTACAGGGCCAGACTGAAGTTTTGGAGGAGGTCAAAGTTTTCGTGTTTCTGCAGGTCCCATTCTTTTGCTGCATTTAGACCTTTAAAAATTAATCTGGAAGGTGGAGAGCATCATTGCACAACTTGCTTGTCAAGAGGACAGATAACAGACAACATCTTAGAGCAGCTACGCTCTACCCTGGGAGGAGATCAGCTGTGAGATACATTGAGCAATGCATTTTGAAACTGCTGAGTTGACATGAAACATCAGTGTCACATTTTTTAGCTAAGTGTGATGTGCATGAAGCACTTTTAAAATAGCAGGACATCATTCAGACTCATTAATAGGTCTTGCTGTGCCAATGCAGTATCATTTCTCCCTTTATAGTTTTAATCTTTTCCTTCAAAAACTCTCTAGAGGGCTTTTAAGTTGAACAAGAAGTGGGACAGCACTGTAATTTAACATCTGAGTGTTCTTTTTTTTTCTGACAGCCTATATTTTCCTTTTCTTAGTCCTGTCCCATCGCTCTTCTCTATGAAGTATATCCAGTGTCCTGATTATTCAACTCGCTTCACACTTTCCTATGACTTTTACACCAAGTGTTCACCTTTTCTCCTCCCAGAGGGAATCTGAGATCACGGCAAATCTCTGCCTGCCCGTGTCCAGGGGAGGAGGCAGGAGGGCAGGCGCAGCGAGCACCATCCATCAAAGCTGCACAGTGGCAGCTTCTTGCCTTTCCTTCAGCTGCTGTAGGTTGTGCAGCTCAGGCCACAGGCTGGCCAGAGGGAGTAGGAGGCTGATAAGGATTACTCACCAAAACTTAAATGTCCAGTGGCACAGCACAGCAGCCCAGGCACTTCCCCATGGCATGTGTGACTGTCACACGTAGGGCCAAAATTCATGCTGCCCCTGGGAAGTGGGAACAACAGTACTTTCCTGTATGAAAACATATTCTAATCCTGGATGGCATTCCCATTTCTGTAATTTAAAGGGACTTGTAAAACATTTACCACCATCCCCCCCCCAAAATTCTGCTCTTTTTTTTTCAGCATTGTGCATTACATGAACAGTCCCTGAAAGCCTCCTGTCAGCATCCCTAGGCAATTTTTGCAGGGGATTGGAGAGGTTAGTAGTTTATTCAGAGGTGAGGAGGTGTTGTCTGTTTTGCACCTTATAAATTTCAGGAATTAGGTGTTCATCTGGTTTTGGGAGAGTCTCAGAAGCAGCGAGGACAGTGAATGCCTCCTGAGAGGGTTAACCAGTTAGCTGAAGTGGCAGGAGTGTGGATGGCTGATACAGCCCTGTCTTCTCCCAGGCTCATCAATCACTGGAAATACATGGGCTAACAGATATAGAAAAAACTCTGAACTTTAAATGGTTCAGTTAAAAAAATCCCATTACTTCTGAATTCGTAGCTTTCAGGTTTTTGACTCTGGTAATGTCACATTTCTGTTACTTCTCCAGACGCAGTGTTTCCTAGAGAAAAGTCTGAACTTGCCATGTGAAAAAACAAGCAAGGTTTTTATTTGTGACGCCGTCTGAATCATCCTTAAATATCAAGGAACAGGAACAAGACTGTTTTTTTCCTCTTTTCACAGAAAAACCTTCAAGAGCTAATTTATAAAGCTCTTTTGTTTCAGACCACAGTCATTCTTCTGGGCCACCAACCATCCGCATTCACTACGGTGATGAATAAGGCCAACGGAAAGCCACGGTAGCTTCTGCGCTGTTTATCACAAGTGTGATGTTGACTTTCGTGCCACTTGGAAAGTGGGGGTGAAGCCTTAGCCCCATCGCACAGTAGCATCCACTTTCCCACAGACTACTTGGTACACAAAACGTGAACAGTCCTCTTTTATCCGGAGAGGTAAAATAGGACGAAAGGAACAGCTCAAGGGCTTAGCTCTCATGCAGACAGACAGAGGAAAATAAACCAGAGGCTCAAAGCAGAGTAGATAAAAGAAGAGCAAACTGACATTGTTAAGAGCTAAGTCAATGAATGATCAGACCACTCAGCTCCTTTTAAGACACGGTTGAGCTCTGCAGAAATGATCCTGAACAGCAAAATTCAGCCTTGGGCAGAAAACCAGGCAGGGTCTCTGCATCACTTACATCCCACTCAACCTGTGTGATTTCAGCAGTGCATAAGACGCATGACAGATCTCCGCAAGACCAAGTTTTCACTTAGTAATTTCCAGCAAAGCGTGGATAGTGAGAGTTCAGTTGCATTTAGCAGAGAAGGTGCGGTGGAGACCTCTTTCCCACAGAGGCACGGCTGAATGTTTTACTCTGTTTATTTTTATTTTCAAGATGCTGGTCTGGTCAACAGCCTCTTGGTGTTTTTCCCCAGCGAGTCACTGAAAAGGCATGTTTGGTAGATAACTTCCTGCCTGTAATTTCTGAGAGGAGGGAGCCACAAGCAATCTCCTGTGGTGCAGAAGTTCCTTTTGCTACCCGAACCTAAGGATTTAGATAAAATTTGCAAACAGAACAGTTTTCTTCAACACTTTCTTTTAAGTATGGCTGCCACAAAGACAACATATCCAAGGTGGTTTGGGTGAAAAATTGGCAGGGTGGGGTGTTAGATTAGATTTTTAAAAACCCACCCTATTTTGTGGAATTGCATTACTGCTGATGATGGAGTTCAGGCTCTATTTGATTAATAACCCAGTTATTCGTTAACGAGCTGGGCTTCCTGGCAGCACTGCATCTTCCATGCCACCCCGTGGCCCAAGATCCCCTGCTGCTCCCTCTCTCCTTCTGGGGAGAGTGGGGACAAATTGCTCTACCGTGAGAAAAAAATTATTCCAGCCAGTGACCCCTGGGAAGGAAACCAGAAGTGAGGTCCTCAGGCTGTAGTTCTTACGAGGCACCAGAAGCATGTCCAGATATGTTTCTGTTTACGTATTTCAGCCAACTGATTTATTTAACCGAGTAACAACGTTTTGTTATATCATTTTTACTGCCTTTTGTTTCAAGGAGGGGAACGGGCCCTCTTCCTGTCGAACACTGACTCCCCTGCGAGGGGAGGGGGGTGAGCGTTCATCCCACTGCTTGCAGCACAGACTAATGGGGTAGGGCAGAGTTACACTAATCTGTACCCAGTTCCTGTTACAGTGCCACCCGTCCCATTACTGCAGCTGGAGAAGTGTTGCACCAGAAACAACAGTGTGACATTGGCCTGGAGGATGCCACCTTTGAGCCACAACCCGGTGGAGGGTTATATCTTGGAACTTGATGATGGAGATGGTGGCCAATTCCGAGTGAGAATTTCATTCAGCATTTATTTGTGTTTCTTTGTATGTGAGTTTCCTCAGGATATGGATTTGTGTCTGTCCGAGGGTGGGGAGAGGGGGTAGGGAAGATGCAGGTTGTCAAAACGTCCCGGCTTCCATCATGTGGATGTAGAAAGCAGTGCAGATGCTGCTTGTTAGAAAGACCCCCAGCTTGGGTGGGAAGTTTGGTTGAGGTTATTCTCAGGGCTTTGGCAAAGGGCCTTGAGGTCCCCCTGGGGTGTACCAGAGCATAAAATTCCATACTAGCCTACAGGAACTGGAAGTGGTTCATTCCACAAAACAGAGGTTTCTTTGAAGCCCCTACTCTTGTCTGTCCATAGCACCCTGTTTCAACAGATGAGATTCTTGGTCTGGAAATGCAACTCAATTTTTCCTGGCTTTCTGAGTAGAAATGGGATCCTGCATAAAATGATGGGATTTCTAAATCTTTTCTCTGAGAGTGGATGAGACCAGGCTGGTGGAAGCATTCTGCAGACACCCTGTGATGGGGTTAGTAAGTCTGGGAAGGCATCCCAAGTGCTGTCCTTACAGACCCTCAGGGTGGTGCCACAACTGCTTGCCCCAGGCTGCAGGGTATTTATAGGCTCCCATCCCTTCTTGCCATGTCCAGATAAACAAACTACAGAAATCATTCAGTCAGCTTTCTGCCAGCCATGTCCTGCTGGAAGCAGTTGCCCTTCCTCCTCAGGCAGTCTTCATGCTCCTGTTGCTCCAGGACCAGGCTGGCCTGGTGCATTCCCTATTGGGCCTTGAAAGCATCTGGAGATCATTGTGGAGCACAGCTGCTCTCTTCACAAGTGGCAAATTTTGCCAAAAACCTGTGATGACATTTCTTCGGGAGCTGCAAACTGGCTTCCCACTGGAAACTTAAAGGTTTCTGCTGCTGAAAATGGCCTGGCATGGGTCCACCTAAGGAACTGCCTCCCTGTGCCAGACTGCTACACCCATAGCCAGCAAAGGCACCTGATTTCCACGCCTCTCATTAGTAGAGTCAGTGATATTGGCAGGTCATTCTGAAGAGGGTAGTGTGTTTGTGAAAGGTCTCCTCAGTTCCTGTGTCCAAGTACCATTTCAGGTGGGTTTGAAGAGGCTGGTCTCTACTGCAAGTGTGAAAAGGCCTTTGTGAACGGCTGCTGGGAGCTGCCGATAGAGTTAGTAGGTAAGAGTGTCACTTCATGGTGAATGAAGAGTTAGGGACAAGGTGTTATGGATTCCAGTGCCTCGGATAATAGCCCTTTTCAAGTGCTATTCACATCTAAATAAATACTTGTGAATAAAGAAGATTTCAGGCTGCTGCTTATCCAAGCCAGTTCGTGTGGGGGTTTTTGGTATCTACCATAGGTTTTAGGACTGCCAGGGCTGCTTTGTCAAGATTTTGGATTGAAGAAGATACAAAGCCATCGCAGTCCTTGAAAATGTAAGGTGACAGCTTCTCAGGGAATGCTTTACTTGCTGTGGTAGAAACACTCAGTTTTACTCACTGAAAGATAAACTGCAGGCTTTTCAGCAATGCCATTTCATTGCTGACCCTTTTCATGAAGGATTATATATCTGAAACCAATGACACTGACTGCATTTTATCAGTATTCAATGCATGGATTTAAAGAATGTTTTTTGCCTCCCTTTGTAACAGAGAACATCAATCTAAATAAACACAAGCAGTGAAGAGTGGTAAAAAAATGAAATGTATTAGAAAATGTGAGAGTTGTCCTACAAATACAACATTTTGCACAGACAGCATATGTTATAACATGGAGATAAATTAAGCTATTCTATTAAAACTCTTTTTTCTACCCATGAAAGATTATCAGCTAACTCAGGACCCAACAGATTTTGTTATTTGTAGCAGCCAACATGGTATCAAAGTGGTCGAACACTTGGCCTGCTGTAAACTTAAGTAATCCCTTTCTCATTCATCACATACTTAATTCACTTTAGATTCATATCAAAGAGCGTTAATCAACAGGACTACTCTTTGGCACATACATAAGTGTCTTAACTGAGCTGGGGCCCGAGTGGTCTGCTTAGTCACAGCCCTAAGCTCTTTAGGGCCTTTGCTAAATCTATGGTTTTCACCAAACTGAAGAAATAGGAGGTGGAAAGGAATTGTGGCTTTCAAGCAGTTGCTAAAACAGGTTTTTTTCCTTTTCTGTCATTTTCTGGTCAGTTTTCCAACAAATGTGATGTTTCTCGACTTCTTTCAGTTCATCATAGGGTGTATAATCTGACTGATCCTCTTCATCAGTCTTCCTAGATGTTCCTCCTCCTGAAATATTTCACATCACACAAGGGCTTGCTTTTAATAAATCTTTGCAGACTTTTATGATGTCTGTGTTGTCTAGTTGCTGCTTGATCATGTGGTGCATGTGATCCTAATCTTTAGATCAGTTCCTTCTGGCTCTGTGTTTGCAGGTTTCAAAATTATATTTTAACACAGGCATGAGACAGCAAAGCTTTCCAACAGAATAAAACTGTGCTTACTTGTTTTTTTTATTCTTCCACACCCCCCCTTTTTTGGTCCTACATAAATATAAGAATGGCCTCATAGCCCTTAAGATCTTTCTGTGTTGCCCTTTATTGCTGTACCTTTCCAGCTTCATCTTCACTTTAGTGTCTCCACTGCTAACCATCCGTGATGTCTCCACTGCTGTGGCTGTCCATGTTACAACAACATAACTTCTATAGAAGCGATGAGAATTGTTCACTTGTGGCTTAGATTTAGAAGTCTTAGCATGACTGATCACAAGACATGGAGAAACAGTTAAATTATGTCCTTTTTCCTCTCTCTCCTTTCTTCTTGGAATGTTTAGGAAGTATATGTTGGCAAGGAGACTCTCTGCACCATTGATGGCCTTCATTTCAACAGTACCTATAATGCAAGAGTCAAAGCTTTCAACTCATCGGGAGTTGGTCCTTACAGCAAGACAGTTATTTTACAGACTTCAGATGGTGAGTTGGGTTTTTGACAGTTTCTAAATGAAAAGCTGCAGGTCTCAGAGGCAGTACATTTGCATCCCTTTTTATCCACTAATATCTTCAGCACCTACTGGCATGGAGATTGTGGATCATCTGAGCAGAGAGGCCAGGAACTGAGTGTGCACAGGGACTGAGTTCTCATTCCTATAACTTCTGGGGATTTTCCATTATCTTTAACGCTTTGGGTTTCAAATAATGCAGTTTTATTTGGCTGTGGAGGTCTGGGGTGTAAGATTCTTATATGCTTTGCCATACAGAAGCAGTTGTACAACACACGGGATATTTTTGTGCCACTCCGTCTCCCCTTTTCCATGTGTCTTTGGAATTTGCCTTTTTCTTCAGTACTGCTTCAATTTCACAGCAAGGTTTGATAATAGAGAGATGGGAATTCATGCTTGTTCCTCTATAATTATACTTGACATGCATACGGGCATTACAAGAAGTTCTTCTTCATTAATGATATTGTAATGAATCCAGAAGTGCATGCTATTATAGCTTTCACTTTTATGCTGTGTTGCCAAAATAGGACAGTATAAAATATTTATACTTTAAGAGCTTTATCTGGTGGTGGGGTGGGTTTTTTTTTTCTCCTTTGCTAAACTAGTGAAGTCGGCTCTAAGCAGCACGGACACAGTGGAACTCCATTTCCATTACAGGCAATCCTGAACCAATTCACCTATGTGAACAGTTTCCATAGCATGGAGAAGCCTTTGTCTCCTCGATGACTTTCTTGTTACTGTGGGAGAACAGAAAGTCACTGCCCTTAGCAGCTTACATTCAGCAGAACAAGCACAGATAATAGAAGGCACTTCTAAGCTGAAAAGCAGCAGGGTACTGGCTCAAAGCAATCTTGTGTAGCTGCCTACAGTAACGAGGAAAGACTGTCTTTATTACCTGAAAAGTGCAGTGGGGTCTTTGTGAAGGCAGAATCTCATTCTCCTAATTGAAGTAAAGCAGGTGACACTTGAACACAGCCCATTCCGCCATAATCCTGCCTTTCGTCTACCCCTTCCACAGTGGCATGGTTCACCTTCGACCCCTCCTCAGCTCACAGAGACATAGTGCTGTCGAATGACAACCAGACTGCCACCTGCAACAGCTACGATGACCGGGTTGTTCTTGGCACAGCTGCCTTCTCCAAGGGCGTGCATTACTGGGAACTGCATGTGGACCGGTATGACAACCATCCAGATCCAGCCTTTGGTATTGCCAGGATTAACGTCGTCAAGGACATGATGCTGGGCAAGGATGACAAGGCATGGGCCATGTACGTTGACAACAACCGCAGCTGGTTCATGCACTGCAATTCTCACACCAATAGGTAAGCGCTGATTTTCTCATTACTGACCCCTTTTTCTGCTCTGCACCCGAGGGAGGGGTCTCAGCAAGCCATTTAGTCCATCCCCCTGCTAAAAGTAGTTCTTTTATTCCTTCTTAAACATCACTAGTGGCAGTGATTGCACATTAGCAATCTGTGTTGGTGTTTGTTATCCTCACTGTTAGCAGTTTTTCCTAAGGTCTAGCCTAAATCCCCCCTGCTGTGATTTAAGCCTGTTATTGCACGTCCCACACACAGAGTCTGCAGACAGGAGCACGGTGCTCTGGGATGCCGGATTTCTCTCTCATTGCTAGAGGAGCATGGGGAGAAAGGTGGTTGATTCTCTTCCTTAGGAGGAATCTTGGCTGTAGGGTTGCACAACAATTAGGCAAAGCAGTGGTGACCGCCTGTCCAAAATGCATGTGTTTATTGCCAGCCCCGAAAGCTGATTAAGGGTAATGCTGTAGGTCAACACCTAGGGTGACCTGGACACAAGGGACTGTTTGGCAGTGAGGGCTTAGTGACAGCTTCTGTCCAACTGAGCCATTGTACTGAAGAGCTTTGAAAAGTGTCTCAACTAGAACAACCAGCTTACACAAAGGAGGATTTCAGAATGCTCCGGAGCCATCGTTACCAAACACCCCATTCTCCCACCACTCGGAGGCTCTGTGTGCTCTATGCAACAGAGCGATGGGACCATGTTCTAGCTGAAGCTACCTCCAGGGACAGATCACACAGAGATAGCGTGTATCAGGATAGATCCAGTGTTGTGCCGACACAATTCCATGGCTTTCAGCACTTATGACAGTGACCTCTGCCTAGTGCTGACCATGTTTCCCAGACCTGATGCTGGACTGTGTAGGGGAGACAGGGTCAGCTTCGCTTGAAGCTCCCTGAGGTACCACCAGAGCAGAACTGCGCTGCTCTCTCTCTCTCTCTGTCCCATGAGAGGGTCAGCCCAGATGAAGGTCAGCTGGGTACTATGAGAACTGAGACCTTTGAGAAGATCTCAGCTGAAGACTGTGATTCAGGATCCGAAGTTCCTCGATGGCCTTGGAAAATGGTGTATTTGTATAGCTACTCTATCACGATGGGAGATTGATGTACAAATAAGTTGACTGGTCGAGGATATGTAGCAGGTCTGTGGCAGAGTGGGAATCAATGTTGATTTAGTTGTCTGCTGACTGTCCCAGCAGGTCTTCCATGCTCACTAGCTCAGGTGTTGTTTCTGTTACACCAAATGATTAAAAGAAAGGCTTGCCATGATTTTTTAAATGCTGAAATGCTCAGATATTATCTCCTTAAAGTGCTAAGTTCATGCCAACATGTACTGTATCCTAAAGCTGGTTGTAATGCCTCCTGTTGAATAGTCATCTATACTCTGAAACATACTTGTATTTTAGGTAAGCATACTGCAATATCTGGGAATTTTTGTTTGAAGCATAATTGATTTCACAGTTTATTACGGGCAGGTGTAAGAACCTTGTAGCTGGATCAAAAGCTATCTGAAGTCAATTGGAATATTTTCTGGCATATTTTCAATGTCTCCAAAGACCTTAGATAATGTCCTAATACAATATAGATTCAAGTAACATCAGTATAATATCAAAAGGTCCTCTGTCCCTTTAACATCTTGATTCGATTTAGGGCGGAAGTAATGTTAAGCTGTATTAATTTTAATGCTCTTTGAAACAGCTTATGTTTTCTGGAAAAAAGCTGGCAACCATTCTGTGTAGTATTGTCCCAGAAACCTATTTTATGGATTTGGTCCTCAGCATGCTCATCCCAGCAAGCAACACACAAGCTAAGCAAAACCCCTTTTTCTGGGAAACAAACAATGGAAGCACTTTGGATTTCCAATCACCCTGCTTACATAGGAGAACAAAGTGCTTTGTGTTGATGATAGTTTCCTGGTTTTTAATAAAGCACAAGGGCTTTGCAGGCACATCCAAGGCATGGATAGACCCGTGGAATATCTGTTGAAGTGCAGTACACTTGCAAAGGGCATGTGGTGTTACAAAATCACATGCGCTTCAATGAAATTAGGTCTAAGCATTATATTTTTAACCGTGACAGTCAAGTAGGTCAGTTTTTTAACTCATTAGCTGTAATAGTCTTGTGGAAACAGTTGTTGCTGCCTAGCTGTTTTTCCCCACTGGAAGCAAGTGCATGACAGCACAGTATGACAGCCCAAAGGAATTTGATTGTCAGGTTTTAGCCTTTTTATCCTTTTTTGGATGTTATTGTGATAGAGGTTACATCTTCATAATCATTTCATGCTTCCTAATCTTCATGAGAAAAAGAATTAGGGCAATAAATAAATGACTAGCTTCAAGGATAAGATGAGGTGGAGCGTGAGAGACCTGTTCATGGGACCTGCCACGTTTAGAGTACTTTCCTATTCTTTTCACTCACCGCATGGAACATTGGACCTGTCTCAGGATCAGGATCAGGAGCGTCTCTTCACTGACTTAAGGGGTCTCAAGACCAGGTTTTCATGACACAAAAATGTTATAATTGACTGAAAAATACTGTTGATAAGTTACTGTAAAGCTCATGATCAAAATACTGTTAACAGAGAGTTAAACTAATTCTTCAGTTTATTAAAGTGTTCATAAATTGTTAAGCTTTATTTTTCAATAATAGTGAAACTTGTTACTATTCTTAATCCCTCAAGCTAATCCATGCAGTCCGATTCGGCACATTGTCGAAGCTGCTGCTGAAAGCATCTTAGAATAACAGCCTCCACTGTACAGGCAATGGCATTTTTCATGGTAGCCAATTTCCCCTTTCCATACTCAGGACTTATCATTGCACACAGAAATAAAAATGTGCAGGACTGTGAGAAAAGAGGTGTGAGAAGTGGGATTTACTTGAAATAATTAATAAGTGGTGTGAGAAGTGGGATTTACTTGAAATAATTAAAAAGCAGCGCGTATCTTCAAAACTGGATTATCACTTAATGAGTGCTAAGTATTTATTGAAGAAGTATTGTAACAAACAGCTGTATTTTCCTTTTGCATGGCCTGCAGATTACCAGGGGCCTATGGTATCGCTGTCATTAAGTAGTTAAAAAAAATGCATTACAGTAAAGCAGCAGCTTTTTTACAGGAGAAAGAAACATCAGTTGGAGTCTCTTGAGCTAGCTGGCGTCTCTTATTGCAACTAAGACACTTATTAGAAAAAATATCCTGTAATACTGTCTAAATGATGCACAGAAGAGTGAGGAAGTGTGCCCTCGCTTGCCTTTGCCCTGGCTTTGTCCTGCCAGAGCTGATTGCCCACTGTGGGGAGGTGGTGGCCGAGGAAGGGGTCAATCTAACTGCTGAAGTCCTGCAAGACTTGTGGCATCAAGGAAGGGAGAGGGTCCCTGTCCCTCTGCTCTGGCCCTGTGCTCCTGTGACCCCCGGGGATGCTCAGCCGGGTCATGCACTCCCCGTGGCTGTGGATGCAAGCAGCATCCCTCTCCACATCAGCGGGGCTGTTGCCGGGGGCGTTAGAGGGGTCATTCAATGTCACTGTGCAAAGCACAGCTAATTAGCCCACAAGAAGCAAATTAGCTTGTCATATAGGAAAGAGCCTAATAATCTCAAAAAGGCAAAGTTGCTGTTTCTGTTTCCCTAAGAGGATCAATGTCATTTAAAAGGATGTCATAAAATCTATTTTAATATCACTGCAGGATATAAAACATGGTGCCCTACAATCAGAGCTGTCCTAAACAGAGAAAAAGAATAATGCAATCTATTTGTAAATAGCTCTAGATCATAGTACTGTTGCTTCCCACGATCTGGATAAGTAAGCATCTTAACTTTTGTTGGAAAATAATTTACGTTATGGTTTTGGAGAGTAGCTCAGCGAGAAACCTATTAATGCTTATAGGACCAAAAAGCAAAGAAAAGGAACCTGAGAGTGCTAAAGTTTGAAATCTAACACATCTCAGAGCCGATTCGTGATTCTCAGCCATACTGTTATTGTTTGCAGAGCTTTAAATGGAGAAGTCAGAATAGTATTCTACACTCTTACGCCACAGAGAAGACACCCTTTGCCTTCAGAGGAAATGCCATCTGCCACATTTGGGCTAAAGGAAATCGGTTTATGACACCTAGTGGACAAGATGAAAATTTCTTCCCCTGCACTATGTTCTTCCTAATCCTCTTTGGATGCCCTCCCCCTCTTTGTATTTTTGATGTTTTGCCTACGTATTGTGATAGATTTTATGTCCAAATTGCATTAATCTTGTGAATGCTGTGTGCCTGAGGGGCGTGCATGGGACAAATGACAGCTGCTTCCTTTCCTACTGCAAATTATTTGAAATCTGATTTACCCTGAACAAATTGTGTCAGGCCGTAAATCCATCACGGAGCCTCCATGATATTAGGAGAGTAACAGTGCCTATGGCCATTCTGCGTATCTAGTAGATTGTTTTGTTCAGTGCTCTTTAAAGTAATACTGGGTTTGACTAACCCCCAAATCAAAGTGCATTAATGTCAAGTCACTCAAGCCTGTAATGGCTGAGTCTGTCCTGGCAAGCTTCCATGCCACGGTAGCTCTCAGCAGCTGCTCCTGACACAACCAATTATCACTGGTATTAATAACCCTGCCTGCACACTTGAAACAGCTCCCAGCCCTATAGCTGAGCACCTTGTCTGTCAGGGAGCTACGTTTATCCCTAACCAGCCCCACCTTCCCTTCCTTCCCCAAAACCACTGTTTGTTGGCCCTGTGCTGGCTCCCTGGTCTCTGGAAAGCTGGGTCCCCTTAGGGGATGCCAAGGTGACTACTCAGACTGGAATTCTGGGTCTCGAGTTGTTAGCAGGCATAATAATTAGAAACAAATGCCCAGGAAACCAGGTTTTTGCCTTTTCATTCCCTGCCGTGCATCGCTTCACTATAACAAGGGTGCTTTAGGGAGCGGTGTCTCCAGGACTCCTGTCCCGCATGCTGACCTGCTCACGTCTCCATCCCTCCTCAGCTGAGGGGACCTGTTAGTTCTGGACACCATTTTCAGCTCTTAGACTGCAGTTGGAGGAGAGATGGACCTAATTTCTAATTTAGGATCTCCCCACTAAGCTCCCACAAACGTGGTACGTACGTACCAGTCATTGCCAAATGCCACGGGGATGATCATTTCACCATGCTGCTCCACTCCGCCTTTGCTTAGCAGGACTGCCTCGTCCAAGAGAGAGCAGCGGCGGTGTACAGCTCTGCCTTCGCCAACACTGTGTCCCTTTGTACCCTAGGACCGAAGGAGGAGTTTCCAAAGGTGCCACCGTGGGTGTTCTCCTGGATCTGAACAAGCACAACCTGACCTTTTACATAAATGGGCAGCAGCAAGGGCCTCCAGCCTTTGAAAACGTCGAGGGAGTCTTCATGCCTGCACTGAGCCTCAATCGGAACGTCCAGGTACGTCTTCTGCAGTTCTTCTCAGGAGAACGTATGCTACCGGCCATGGCTGCTGGAGCTGCCAACATCGTCTATGGGTAGTCAGTATGGACAGGGGCCCTTTCCTTCTCCGACTGACGCCTGGGCTACTAACACTTCTTGGAAAACTGCATTTGACCTTCTGCCTCGCCTCACAGATGTGCGGAATAATGCTGTAAAAACAAGTGAAAGCGCCTGCACACGCTGATTCCTACACTTTGCTGCAACGCTCCACTTGGAAAGCAGCGGTGCTAAGGCTTCCTCCGCCAGTTTGACTTGAAACCAGGGGTACCCTAATTCCTTTTAGATCTTATTTGGATCTTATGGATGTGGCTTTGAGCAACCTGGTCTAGTGAAAGGTGTCCCTGCCCGTGGCAGGGGGGTTGGAACTAGATGATCTTTAAGGTCCCTTCCAACCCAAACCATTCTATGATTCTATGATTATTTGGAGAGTATTAACATTGACAAGAGTCAGACGTGAGCAGCACAGTGGTAAGGAGAGCAAAGGCAACGTAGGTCAGAGAATGAGTGCAACAGTCAGCACGTCATTCCTGCAGTTTCTGAATTTTGGAGATTGCCCTCTGTTCCCAAGAGGATCTCTTCTTGGAGGAACCCTCTTTAAATGTAATGCATTTTTACTTCAAGACTGCTGCATATTGCCAGCAGCAGAACTTAGGGTAAGGGAGAACCTATGGAAAACACCCAGGAGTCGGAAGACTGAAGGAGGTCAGCTTAGGTCAGGCAGGACCAACTCAGCCAGGGTGGAACACTCCTCATTTAGAACAGCCAAAGTGAAACCAGGGACCTCGCATGGCCTTACTAGGACAGGAACACTTAGCAAGCGTTACCGGTGACATCCAGATCTTTCAGGGAGGTTTCATGGCTTTATTGTATTTGATGGAAGACACAGGCACTTCTCTGGGCACCTCACTGCTGTATCCAACACGGGTTTTTACTCACAACCTACCTTCAGTTTTAGCTACCTACAACCTTCAGGTAAGTACCTGGCTTGCATTTCCTACCACAACTGAGTTAAGGCAGAGCATGGCCAACAAGGGGACAGGGGGAAACTCTGAGGTTGAGCTTGTGTTTGCTGTTGAGTGGTGTGCTGGTAGGGCTGTGTGGGAACCCTGACCTTCTAGAGACAGATACCAGGTTACAGAAGGAGCACTAAAATGTCCTGTGCTCTGTCCTGCCAGGACAGCAAAGATAAATGGATTTTCTTATATTTAGTACGTGGGCTCCACTCTGCGATCCCTGTCTTGAAGTACTCAGGGTCCCTCACACACTGTGAGTCTAGCAAGAAGCTGCTGGTGGCTGGATTTGGGAAGAGATACAGACACCTGGCTTCTAGACCCCAAGGTGTTCAGAAGGGAGGGGAGAAGAGACTTGCTTATTCCAGTACCTTGATATCATCTCCGTTAATATTCTTGAAGACTTAAACCTGGACCCCCACAGCCCTTCCCCTGTCACTGACCTGCTCTTCACGAATGCTTTCTGCTGAGGATGTCCCAGTTTTGAACCTACGTGTTATTTCTTCTTTGTGCAGGTGACCCTGCACACGGGACTGGAGGTGCCACAATGTGCAAAACAGCCCAAGTTGCCCAACAACTGATGAAGCCCCCGCCCGACCCTGTGCTGGATTCTGTAAGCTTTCTCAGTGTGATTTGGCACTTTCAAGTCAGTAAAAAAGCATTCTCCTTCCTGACTTAAAACATTGTACAGCATGTTGCTCACCAAATCATCCGCTGGTTACAGCTAGTCCGCTCCATTTTGAATTTAACAGCCATAGCAAGCATACCCGCTGAACTGGCACTCGATTGCAGGTACCTGAACATATCTACGCTGCGTTGCACACCTATGTACACACATGTGCACACACTCGCACACCCCTACATCTATAAAGCGAAAGGTTAAATGAGTGTATTGTCTCTCTCACGGCTGGATTTGTGCTTAAAAGATATTAGGGATGCCAGAAAAAAATGGGTAAGACTAAGACTGAGGGACAGCGGCTGTTGGAGCAATTTACCGGTAGGTGAACTGGATTCCTTTGCCACCTGAAGTGCTTAAATCAAAAAAGCATATGTTTTGGCAGCTGAAGTGGAGGCTGTGTGCTCAAGAATTCCTGGTTGTCCATTTACATTCAGGGGCTCAAATGGCCATTAATTATTCCTTCTGGCTCTAGACTGCAGTAAGTTATGGGATAACGTTCCCATAGAATTCAGTGGCAGAACTCAGCATGTTTTCTTCTATAAGATTGGTTTCCAAACACAGCACTCATTTTAGCTAACACCACGATACATGCAGAATGCAGATAGCGAAAAGTAGAGAGGAAAAATATCCTTGATACACTTCAGTGTTTGTTATTTGGGTGTGATTGTGGACATAGAGAAGGTCTGATTGTGGTTACCAGTGCAGCTCCTGAAAAATGGCACTGGGGAGATCCCTTTGAATTGAATCGATAGGAGATTTATTTACATGTGGCGCATGCAAAGCATCCCATGTGGAGAAATGCTGCTTTCCTGCCTTGACCCTGGTAAGCCCTGGACAGCTGTAGTTCCAATGTAGCTTTGCAATCAGAAGCCTTAATTTTCAGCTAGATTACTGTGAGCTAATTAACGTCTCGATCCTAATGAAGCACTTGAGTGAGAGAGATTCACAGCATTACTGTGAAATCCATCCCTAAGAATTTGGATTGGGACACAGATCTTTTGCAAGACTCAACCTGTGTCATCTCCCGTGAAAACAAGGCGCTGTTTCAGGTGCTGCCCATGACAACTGGAGTCTGACTGACAGGGAACTTTTCCCACAGCCATGGCACTGTCGCCTGCATGCTGCGGTCAGAAAACACATGGATTTGTGTGTGCGCTTTTCCTCTGAACCCAGCTGACATACGCAAGTGTGTGTGTGTATAGCGGCATTGCAAGGGGCAAGATGCAGCAGACCCTGTGAGCCCGTGACATCTCAGACTCTCTCTCTAATCCTATGTAAGTGTGGTGCTATCAAACAAGAAAAGCATAAACTCTTAAATCCCATCGACGTACCGTTTCCTTTTTTAAAAATCCTGCTGCTTATGCAAATTTTCCTCTCCAAGCATAGGTATACGCACACACATATTGTTATCAGACATGTAACTATTAAACCTGACAACAAATATTCTGACCAAAATCCAGCTGACTGCCTTGCATTAAACCACAGCCACAGGACGAACGGCCCAGGCCTGCCTTTGGGCAGCCTTCCAGCCCCCAGGCATCCTGCTGCAGCTCCACTTGGGGTCTCTGGCTGGAGCACATCACTAGGGTGGTGATGAGCGATGGCGAGGCTTCTCTGGGCCAGAGTGGCCAGGATTCTCCCTGGGGTCATCCCACCTCACAGCCATTGTAGGGACGGGGAGACAGCCCAGAACGAGAGTCTCGAGCCATCATGCAGATGAAAAGCAGTCCTCCATCATGCTGCCTGTAACCAAGAAGCATCCCGTAGCCCACCCCTCCTGCAGAACAGCAGCGCACCTTCCGCGACGTCAAGACTGAAATAGGAAACAAAACCAACGATGGGAAAAAATAACATAAGCTTTTAAGTGGGAAAGCAACGGTACTTTCTTCGAAGTCTGGAATGGATTGTGTTAGTAAACTTGTAGGCGTTGGAATAACTGCTCTACGCTCATCCTGGTGGAATAACTGCTCTACGCTCATCCTGGTTTCTTAAAGAACAGCAGAGACCAACTGTTGTAATTTCCGGTTTCATTTCATACCATGTGAACTCAATGAAGAATTTTCTAATTAGTGGGTCTGCTAATTAGAAAATTTAATTTAACCTACCTCAGCTAGAATGGTACCGGACCCCAAATTTCCTCCTGAGTGTGCTCTTCTATAACAGTTGTAATCATAGCGTTGGCTTTGAGTATTGCCAGTCAGAGCAGTGTATGGGAATACTGTACATAAGTTGCACATAGTTTTTTATATTGGGAAACATCCCGTGGTAATTTTAATACAGAAGGCACTCCACTTTCACTTGTTGTATTAAAAAGAGCATTGTTTGCTTTGGGACTGAACCTTTGTCTTTACTCCCAACTTCTATGAAGGAAACTCAAATGAATTCACATCTTCAATCTTCAACCATCGCCAGATGTTTCAAATTAATTCTGAATGGGTTTTAGAATTGTTTGCAGCACTCTGTTTTGGTTTTCACAGCTGCTTTGGTATCGGTTCCTGGTGTGTTATACCTTGGGGAGGACTCAGTGAGTGATACGGGTTAGCTAGTTTTTAACATGGACAGTAGGTAAGGACATGCTTCAGAGCTGCAGAGAAGCCCATTTGTTATCCTCTACACATTCTAACATTTGTAGAAGTAAGGTACAGGCTAGCTACCATTACAGTCTCCTTTTAACCTAGCAGAAATGCAAATAAAATAAAAGGAATACAGTTAGAAGTAGGTAACCCGTATTAGTAAGACTAATTTAGCCTAGATCAAAAACCAAACAAAGCTGTTCTATGTGTTGGTTGTGTACACACTCCAGGGCGTGGGTTTGGCATGGCCCATAGCAATAAACCAATTACTCCGAAAGACTGTACTCTGATGACTCAACTAGACACATTTTGGTAGTTTGAGTAATGGAAATAATGCTTAACTAGTTAGAATTACGCTAGGAAACTACCTACTCCACACGTGAATATTTATGCAGAGCATCCGGATGGCAGCGGCCACCTGAACACAGGCAGAGCAGAATTTTCCCTTTGCAGAACTGTGTCAGGTGGGGAGAAGCAGGGCACTTCCACCTCTCTGCTCAGGCTGGAGGTAGTTTGCTTCTCCGCAGGTAACTCCCCCAAGGACCGTCTCGGCGTAAACCCAGCAGTTCGCACGTTCTTCACCTACAGCATCTCTTGTGCCAGTTTTTGTTTCCTCCAAATCCCTTCTCTAGGAGGGAGTCAGCCTTTAGTACCGCAGTCCTTGCAGCACCTGTGTTGCTGTCTGTCCAGGGAGAGCCCGGGGGCTGAGGATACGCAGAGCGGATACCCAAGGGGGAGCACGTTGGGTGCCCTTGCATCCTTTTGATTCCTTGGGCTATCTGTGCAGCACTCTGGGACCCCAGGCTTAAACAAGCCCTCCTCTAATAAACCTAACAAAGCGTGACTTCTGCATACACCAGTTTGGCACCTCCGCACAGCTGCTAAATAAATAGAGCAGCAAACGCTGTCCTGCAGAGCAACAAGGGACCCTCAGTTTTCATCCACCCGCGCAAACACCAACCTCAGCCTTTGCGAACCTTCTGCCTGACATTTTCCTCTCCAAGTTTCCCCACTGAGTTTAGTGGGAACAAACGGCAGCAGTGTGCCGTCAGGAGCACTGTCAGACCTCCCATGGCATGCAATGCTACACAACTTCCACTCCCTTCTTTTCCCTCATCAACTCAAAAAGAGCGGACAAGAAGATCACGTACTAAGACTCGGTGCCAGTACGAGCACAGGCCTAGTTGACAGTCCCGTACAACGTCTGCTGCGGAAAGGTACGCGCCATACAACAAACGTCAGTGAGGGGAGTAGCATACTGAGGTGTGTCAGGGATGGGGGAAGTAATTTGGCTTCTAAAAGCACAGAAGAGAGGCCAAGAGCATCGTTGCCTCCGATACTTGCCTATGCAGTTAAGATAGAGGAAAATATATTGGACTGAACAAAATAAATTAAAAAAGCATGAGCTTACATATATCAGAGTTTAAAAGTATTACATGTAATTTACGATGTGTGTAACGTTCCATCGCGTTGTAAATAATGCCCTGGTAGCATAGTGCCGTAGTTTGTCCTTGGCTGGCGATAGCGTTCATAGTGCCGTGTAAGCTTTGTATTTTTGTTCTGTATTTCCAACGTGTAGTAGGTAAAGACGGCAGAGAGCACCCAACGCTCTGGTTTCCGAGTTGCTTTAGAGCACGAAGAAACACGAGATGCAGCTTATTCTTTCTTTCTTACATAACAACACTGCCTAAGCAAGGTAAGAGAGAGATGAGATCAAGGCTGAGCTGCCACTACCACTGTACTGGAAACACCACGGTTTGCGACTGCCAGCAAGAGGTGGTGCGTTTTTGGACCACCAAAATAATTCAGATTACCCGTTCCTGTGAGAAGGGATGCGAAGTACCAACGACCTGGTAACAGCAGCTTTCTGGTGCCATCTAGTACATTCTTTGCTCACAAACAGAAATAGGAGGAAAGAGAGCTGTTAGACCAAATCTCAGGCCTTACCAGCTTTGCAGCATTCCACTTAAACAGCAAAGTCAAGAAATCGGCTTTGAACCAGGCAAGACAACGTGAAAACCCCAAGCACCTTAGCGAGATCAGCTTTGGAAGGGAGATAAGAGTTTCGAGTCCTTCAACAGGTTACGGTAACAAATCAACCCCATTGCAAACTAAAGGGCGCCTGTCACTGAAAATTACCAAACAAATATGGACAGGGGTTGGGTTTGTTTTTTAAATTATTATTTTTTTAAAAAAGCGAGCTGCTTCTAGTTTTTACTGACAACATTTCTGGCGATTCCCCTGCCCAGCACTGCTGAACGCCACACGCAGAACTGGCTGGAGCAGCAGCCGAAAGCACAAATCCATCATAAACAAGACGCGCTTGGTCGGCGTCTTAGGCGCAGAAGCCCCCGCGCAAGCCAGAGAGACCAGACGTGCAGGGCTCGAGCACTGGGGCACAGTACAGGAGACAGACCTGTGTTCTACTGACAGGGGCCCTCAGCCGCATTTCCCCCTTCTGTTAAGTGACCTTTTTGTTACCGTCCTTACTGCAAACAGATCCACACAGGACTAATTACAAAAAATGATCTTTTTTTTACACTAATTGGAGGATTTCTAACATTTCCTTGCAAAGCAGTAGATAGAAATATTCCTGGATCCTAAGTGCATTCCTCCATCCCCCACCTCCCTTAAGTGTTGTCAGTAAAAACATTAACCTTCCTAGGTAGCATGGTGAGAAGACATTATGTGATGAATATTAAAAATAAATGCATGAGGTAAACCTGCTGTTATTTCTGACTGTTATATGAAGCATGAATAACACTAATTTAAATGTTGGCAACCGAAAAAGTGCAAAGGAGTAAGATAACGGTGTTCACTCCTCGTTAGACGACAGACGAGAAGTTGATTTGGTGTTTCCTTCTCAACCACATCTTTTTTCCTTTATCATCATTTCCCATAGCTTATATGAATTTGGAGCTGGTGAAATATACATCTCTGCTGTATGTGTCTGTCACCAGATCAAGAGGAAAATACAAACTTTTTACAATTTTGTACCTGTAGCAAACGTTTGTATTTTTTGAATTGGAAACAAACTGCTTTTTGTCTTTTGGTCAGACTAAAACTTTGTGTATTATTATTATTACCACCCTTTTGGAAAATGTGACATATGAGTTTATGCTGTTTTACAGTTTCTAAATAAATTCTTAAAACATTGCCAACAAATTCAGCATCAGCACCCTATTTATTATTAAAAATTATTATTAAAAAGTACGACATCATAATGCATAGGAGCCAGGCACATAGATGCACGCCTAACTGTTGACACCTGCTTCGTTACCGCAGTCGAAGACTAATCCTAGAGAAAGCAGAGAACCCTCCCTCAAAGCAACCATGTGTGCCTCGACTCCAGACATACCCCGGATCCAGTGGCATGAAACACCCCTCTTTCTCAGCACCACTCCGTTTGCTCTGGCTCTTGTTGGTTACGGAGTACCCAGGGACGTGCTGTTTAGCTCCAACCCATCTACCATACTTTGGGTGATTTCCCAGTGTCCAGAAATTTCTGACACTGGACTAATCAGAGCCTGGAAGTAACTGTGACGCCAGTAGGATCCGATTGGAAAGGCCTTGGAGTAAGCGCAGAAGCCAGACTGGACAGAAAGCTAGTCAGGGCAGGAAAGCCAAAACTCTGGGAGGTGGTTTAAAATGCCGCATCACCTTGGAGCTGCACACCTCTGCCTGGCCGATGCCTTGTGATGGAGAGAGCAATGCCAGAGAGGCAGCACACAGCTCAGTGCAGAAAGGTGCTTGCGGAAGCTACGCGACCTTCCTAAGTGTCTGCTAGTAAAGCAGAGTGAAGCCAACACACGAAAAGCAGCAGCAGGGCAGAAACAGAAAACTGGCCCAAACAATCAGGAGTGAGCACAGGCATGAGTATGGAGACACCCTCCATCGTGGCCTTTGGGTTTTTTTTCCTGCAAGAGACAACAGCCTGGTGTTGGCTCTTTCATGGCCCAGAGTTTGACTGGGAGAAAAGACAACCACACCGGTTTTAGCATATGGGGACATGGGAATCAAGCTAACTGTCACAGAAAAAGGCATGCGGAAGAGAGCAGATAAGGAGAATTCCTTACATTCTTCCTTTATTCCTCTATTTGCCTGCAGGTAGAGGGCAAAATAAGATGGTCCCTGCTCTCCCTTGCCCATAATCAATCAGTTATTCAGTCAACACTGGCTTTTGTGTACATGCTCCAAAAGCAACACACCTTGCTGCTTGAATGTACGCTTACACGTTCTGTTAATTACTCTGTGAATTAATAACACATGCCAGCCAGGGAAACATGAGGTGCAGAACAGGTTCTCAACAGTTTTGTTTGTCAGATGTTGGTTGTAACCATTTTTGTTAATGCATCTACTGACAAAACAGGACCGAAGGTACTGTTATTTACCCGAGAACAGCATCCGACAAGGATGTAGCATGGCTATCTCACATCACCTTGGTGACAGGTTGCTTTTTTTTTAATCATCTCAAATCCCCATATAACAGAAACCTTTCATAATGCACACGCACCACTGTGAAACAAGTAAGAAAATGTAGAATTCTGAATAAGCTCCCTCCCAAGCCTTCACGTTTCACTGTCAGCCTGGCATTTCAGTTTTCAACTTTTTATTTTAAGAGCCGAATTGGCTTTCAACTCTTCTTTATGCAGAGCTTACAAGTTTGAGACCAGGACTCCAAACGTTAAGACGCTCCATTCTGACCAAGCTTCATTCCTAAACGGCTTTTGGGAGCTGTGGAGGTGGAAAGTCAACCGTTTAAATTACCAAAGCTGACTGAGGACATGAACTCCCACAGCACATTACACCCAAAGCCAGCCAAACAGAACCTTACCTAGAAACGAGCAGTGAAAAAACGAGCTCAAGGATTAAGTAGGGATTAAAAAATACAGATTATCTCACAGCATCCAAAGCTCATCTACTGCCTCAACAAGTCCTGATGCTCTGTACTCAACCCTGCTCAGTGATTACACCTCCTCATGCAATCGTGATTTGACACTTCTCTAAGTCCATAACCAAACAGGATTGTTAATTCCGGTTCGAATCTGCAACCAAAACTGCCTAAGAAGAAAGCAAATTACGCAACTATGGAACGTGATAGGAGTATTTAGCAACCCAACTCTGCACACCCCTCCTCTTCCCACGTGGCTCCAGAAACACTCCCTTCCGCTTTTTACCTGGCTCTTGTTCCCTCCAGGCCCTCTCCCTCCTCTTAGGCCTCCTCTTAGTCCTCCAGGACCCAAAAGTAAGGTGGAAGGCGTGGAGGAAGGAGTGGGCCGGAAAGCATCCCCTTCTGCAGTGTGGCTCTCCCTAGCCCAGAATACTTACCTGTCCTGCGAAGAGGGCAGCCTCAGATGCTGCTGTTCGGGGAGAGGACTAAACGCCGAATTGCAGAAGTCCAAATAGCACTAAAGACTTCCGTTTTGACAGAGATTTCCTAGAACAGCCTTGTGAGGGAACACTGATCGAAACAAACTTGAGTTACTCATGAACAAGCAGTAGCCATTGAGCGTCTATCGCCATTTGGCTCAGTCTTAAAAAAAACCCAAACCAAGTTACCCAACCCCTGTGTAAAACAGTGCTTATTTGGAGATCTCTGCAGATCTACACAAGCTGAGTATGTAACCTTAACTGTGTCAAAACTTCAGAAAAATCTCAAACCAGGTGATTATGAAGCCCTTTGAGGTTCTGCTGGACAAGAAAGCTGTCATGCAGTTCCACTATCCACTAACAATTCAGAAAGCTTCAGAAACAGATGTGTGCCTGATGAACGTTTGAAAATACCGACTTCAGGTCCACAGCAAGTAAGGTATTGCTTTTTCTAATCTCCTTCTAGATGAAAGCAAAGAACTATATATTTTAATCCATTAATTCGTGGATTAAATTAATACTTCACATAAAGCCAGTAAGATGATTCTAGGAAGGAAAATGCTTTCTTTAGCACGTGCTGACTAACAGTAATAGCCTGTGTAACATTCTTAATAAAAAGTCTTTTTTTTATTTATCAAATGGTAAATTCTCATATTCTTCCCAAGGCAGAATGGAATATAGAGAGTCCTCCAACAACAAATAATGTAAAAAAATTTAGGATATGGTGGGAAGGCAAGAGGCTCCGTAAGTCTGCACTGGTAGCACCGTGAACTCTATCGTACGCATCTAGTCCATTTCACTCTGAATTGCAAGTTCATTTGACAACTTTAGAGGATTTAATTTTCTTTATGTCACAGCTTTGCAGAATCAAGGTCCCATCTCTGAATTTTCCAACTTGTCCGGCGTGCCAAATGCTAGGCACCGCTTTCTTCCTTTTGGCCTTCCTGAAATAGGAAGAAGGGGGGGAAAAAAAAGCATTAAGAGAAACAACAGAAACTCATGAACAAGCTTAATATGGCAAAACATCACCTGTGTATGCAACCAGTGTTTGGGATTACGGAGTATCAAATGACTGCGGGCAATGATCCCAGAACACTTATTACCTACGCAGCCATTCAGAATTTGCAGCACATCACAGCATGATTTACATTTTTTAAAGTTTAGAAAGACAGAGACTTGTGGACAGAGAAAGAAGATCAAGAGTACATTTTAGTGAACCTGCAACACTACGATTAAGAACGCCACCGCACCTTTCAAGCCCCTCTATATGGTAGTAGCTTGTGTTTCGCAGAAATTATCTCTCGGGGCAAACGCTCCGAGTAAGTGGCACACAGGGATTTCCACCCATCTCACCTCCGGCTGCAGCCTTAGACATGACGGGGCAGAACGGACATATTTTCAGTTAAGCGACGTAACTAGAGCCTCTGAAACTGCTAGACACAGAGCAACGTCACCGTTGGGTGACCGAGTTCTGCAGTTGGAGAAGTCCCTTGCACTGCGAGTTGCGCGATTTCTGGTATACGACTGTGCGGAGTTACACGGGGGCAATACAAAACCACGTTAATTTTAACCACGTTAAAAACAGCTCACCTCTCCTTCTGTTCTTTCTTCTTCTTCTTCAGGGAATCACCTTTATGTTCCTGTTTTTAAAGACAACATATTTTAATGGGAAAGTACAGAGCATCTTGGCTAAATAACCACCTGCACACAACACAAGCGGTAGCCTCTGCTTCACAGAGCAGCAGGCATTTAAAGCAGGTTGGGAGACCTTCTCGCAGGCCAAGTGACGCAACGTGGTGCGGAGGCACTGCTAGGAGCGCCCAGAGCCCTTCCCGTCGCCTTACAGAACGTACAGCCCTCTCACGACCAACCTCCTGCCCCTGTCATTTCAGGAGGCACAGATCCAGCCACATGTGGGGAGAGGCCCTGCTTCCTGGGCGTGTGACAGATCCTTGGGTCAAAAGATGGATCTGCTACCAGGCAGGTGTGCCTGGTTACCTGAGTCAGCGTACCTGTCAAATAACAGGGTTCAACTGTGTCTGGTCTTGCACTGGATTGTGCCACATGCCAGAGAGGCAGAAGTAGGTTCCCTGGGAAGGAAGGTGGCAGGAAACAGGCTGGTAGAGCAATTACCCACTCTGCAGCCTTCTCCCACCTACATGAGAAGGCTCCATGGGGAGGCAGGGAGTAGGCTCAGAGCCAGATTGGCCGTGCTAGAGGACGGGTGCAACAGAAACCTCACCCTGGCTTTAAACAATGAGCAAGATCCTTGATGGAACTGTGCTGATAGAAAACCAGCTGAAGATCCGGCTCCCTGTGGTTAGGCAGCATGCAACAAACTTTAATTGAAGGCCTTTTTCTTCCCTTAAGAGGCAAGAGGAAAAAAAAAAGACCCCAACCTGCTGAATTTCTGTCATCAGTCTATCAGCCTCAAAGGATACAGCAGTGAAACCCACCACAACACAGGCCTAACTCTGTGCCCTTCATATTGCACACAGCCAGCTTTCACCGAGGAGATTAGTCCTGCTGGAGCCAGGAACCCACTCCACAGGGAGCAGCCGGTGTCAAGCTCGGGCACTCCTCCTGTGCCCGAGGCATTACCTGTCAGAGTCCCAGGCCAGCTCTTACATGCTGTCTTTACATAGAGAAAATTTCACACAAACCTTTCCCTTATCCTCGTCCTTCGCTGGTTTTTTCTCTTTCATTTTCTCTTGGTAAATCTTGTAGTTCACATGTTCCTTTTTGGGTGGCTGCAATAAAGATTGGGAGGAATACCACTGATGAAATTTTCAAATAGGTTCAAAAAATAATTCACACACTCACCCGCACAGTATTTTTCAGGTGGGATGGTGAAACATTCGAAATGGTTTATTTCCTTTTGGGTTAGAGAAAGGGACTTCAGGGATGTAAGGTAGACATCTAGAAACCCACCCTCCTCCCCACACCCCATAAAATACCTACAAAATTATTTTTTCTTTTACACTAGCGATGATAAATAAAAATGTCAATTTTTCTTTGTCTTTAACTCACCGGGAAAGTGAACCTTCAAACAGCAAGCCCCTTCATCCAACAGTTTAGTTTTGAATGGCCTGACTAAAAATTAGTAAATGTTGTTTTCCACCCCATATTTAATCTCTACATCTCTGGTAACACAACCACACTAACTTTCCACACATCTACAGAAAACAGACAAGACAGAATAGAAAATGTAAAATGAAGCATAAAGTGGGAGAAGGCTCAGGCCAGAAGATCTGCTGTCTTAAAAAAGTGGCGCCAAAACCCCTTCGTGTTTTTTACTGCTCTGCTGCCCTGTAACAGCTGGGTGACTGTCCAGCACAAACCGAGCGACAATGACCTTGGCTCCCAGCATGATAGCACGCTCCTGTTCCCACACGCGTTGTTCCTGCTTCTTGTAGCCAGTGATTCCAAACTTGTGCACTTCCAGCCGCGCCTAGAACGTTACAGAAAATGGCAAGCATTTTTTGTCCAACCTGCTGTAAAATAATGCTTGACAGACCACAACAAAGTCATGCTCCCAAAGAAACCCTGGCTAATGCCCGAAATCAGCATGCTACAAAGGAAAACGAACCGAGCTTGGAGCTACACCACAGAAGAGTTAACCACTGCCCATCTGATCTCTGGATGGTGAGGACTGTCAGGGGGACAATATTCACCTCTCCTCATTTCACATAAAACAACACATGGAACACATTCTCCATACAAAACTTAATCATGTTGTGCTGCACAAAGGACAATGAAATGCGCTACCCACAACACCCAATGTTTACAGTGTCCTCATTCCTTGGCTGCAGAGCACTTAACCAGTGAGAAACATGGATGGGCAGACGGTGAAGTGGTTTGACTACACACACACGTATTGTTGACGCTACGCAAGAATGCCCTAGCAAAACCAGTGGTGAATTCATAGCCCTCCTAAAGCCAGCAGTTAAATCTCCACTGTTCTCAGCAGTAAGGAGCTCCACACAGAGTCTCCAGTGAGAGATTTCACTAGATCACAACACATTCCTGAGCAAACGTCACGTGTATAAAACAACTTGCACAGATTTGTGAATAACTCAGTGTCTAAGGCCAGTTACGCTCACATAAGAACAGATGAGAATAAAAAGACAAATGGAAAAAAAGTCATCAGCTATTTAAAAAATAGATGCCAATACACTTCTTTTTCCTCCCACACAAGATCAAAAATCCGAGATTAACACCATGGGCCTGAAAGAGCTACGCTAAACGTTATGGATACTCACACAGCTTTACACAGCTAACAGAGTCATTTTAAATTCCCACTGAAAGATCAGAAAAGCCACAGAGTTGTAACACACCTCTCTTCACACAGAGCATTTACAACAGCCAGCATGCTCCTCTGCTCTGGCATGGCACGCAGCCAAAATCACTGATTAGGAAATCCTCACCTAAAAGAGCCTTTTCTGGAAGCATTTCACATCCATCCCACCACAGCTTTCCTAAGGACATAAATACACGCACCTGCACACTAAAATAGTGAGATTAGATAGGTCCTGCTGACTTACTTTTTCAAAGTTAAATTCTTGGTTGTTCACATTTTTCTCGCTTTCCACTATTTTGCTCTATAAAGAAAATGAAACATTTCAAGTTAATAGAACAAGTAACACTGGTTTGAATGCTGACTGTGAGTTTTTTGGAAAGAAGTGAAAGGTAAAACGAGTCATAGGGAACACAGACACTTCAACCTCAAATACCTTGTAAGTCTCCCTGAATTCAAGGCATCCATATGTTGACCCATCAGAGCTTATTTTAGAATTGGGCTTCCAACGTTATGGCCGTAAACACAACTCCAAGAAAACCACCAAAAGAAGCTATAAAATCTGGAGAGGCCTCACATCCACACCTACTGCTAAGAACAGCGCAGCACACAAAACGCTTGGGCAGGAAGTAGCCAAAAAGGCTTTGCTTCCCATTTCATTTGCTTCTTGGGGTATCAGCAGATCAGTTTATTTCGTTGGGATGCTCCTATTTCAAATATAGGATATTTATCCAGAGATCTTCTGAAAATGGAAAAAATAGAAAAAAAAGAAGCCTCCAAGTCCTGCCTGCACCCCGGCTTCAGCCTGCCCCTGCCAGCTGGATGCCATCAGGCTGAGCACATGGAACCCCAAGGGATCCCAGACTTCCAGGCAGCTGTATCAACAAGAGGGAAGAAACTAGGCACGAGAGGTGGAATTATAGACCGTATCTCTCAATTTATGGTGGCAGACGGGGGAGACAGACCAAAAAAGAAACAACCCCAAAACCTAAAATCCACCACACCCAACCCAAAAACCCAGACATGGCGAGGGATTTGTTTGACCTGTCCCCAGGAAGGCGCATCCCGGGCAATGCCCAATGCCAACTCTGCGGTGAGGCTTTAACAACGACACCCGCGCTCCCAAGGCCCGGCCGGCC